AGCTGGGGGGTCGTAAGATTTTTGAAATTTGTCCAGCGTGACGGTTGACCCTGCTCTAAACACCTCCTATCTACTCCCTGCGGAAATTTACCTTCAAGAAATTACCTTCCAATATTTTATGGACACACTCGGAAGCCACGTCGGTTCTCAGCGGAAGCCGAATGCGTGGCGTGTACATGAAAAAGCCAACGATCGCAGAGCGATCCATTAATATAATGGATATCAAGCTCAGAAGCATCAACCATACAGTTTTCAGAATATCTCCAAGTGGTTGAAGCATCAGTCCGCAGCTATGGGGAGGAATGTGTAGATGCGATAGCAAAGGTAGAGTAGAATTTCCCACTGATAGGTGCAGAAACTTATCTATAGCGATAGAAATCAAACGATATCCTCAATAATTTCAGGGGTTCGAGGATATGCACCAGCTTATGCTTACGGTGGATGGACGACAAAATCTTTCAAATCTATTCAGGTATGAAGTACTGCTGACGTACTTGCGAACCGCTCCAGTGTCCAAGGCAGGAAGGCAGAATCCCACACTGGAAACATATTGCTAGCGTCGCCTTCAAAAACTGAAGCGTGAAAAATCATTTTTAGCGCTCCATATGAGCCTTTCGAGGTTTCGCTTGATCCCTTGCCCGCATTGATTATAAATATAGTAGCATTTAACACGTTGACGACATCGCGCGTTTTGGGTTTTTGCACCGCGTGGGACAAGGGCGCTTTTGCGAGCGCGGCCGTCACACCTCACACCCGTAAATTTCGAACGATAACCTTGGGAAGCTTCAAAGGTACGAAACCATTTCAGCAATATTCAATGCGTAGAAAGTAATCGAAGATATAGTAGCGAAATTCCGATCAAAAAACGTGAAATGGTAAAGAAAATTGGAATTCAAGTCCTTTTTCTCTGTAGTGGATGCCAAAACTATTTTCGATGTGGATGTGTCAAGTGAAACATATATCTTTCTATCCCTTCAAGTTTGTATTTACTTTCACTACCTTTTCTCACTGACATGTTCATCAGAATAGGAAGAAAACGAGGGATGAACCGAGCTGCCAATTCCGCTGTGCTTAAAGCAACAGTCCAGGCAGGGTTTCAACCATTTGGTTTTCAAGTGGTGGAAACATGCCTCAGCCTGATTGGAGTTCATGGGAAATGTCACAAACTTCAAAACTTACCTCTGAAAGGCGTTGGAAGCAGTCGAAATCCTTCAAGAGGGGCGGATCCACCGATCCGTGGTGGGGCCGCCTCCAAGCAGCTGTGCAGAGCGCTTGCTCGACTAGCGGTCGTTGCGGGACCGCCGCGCTGTATGAGGTCGATTCCATAAGAACGCAATTGAAGCGCTTCAATTTCGATTGCTGGCAAATAGTTATGTATTTGCAAGCATGCATGGCTATTTGCCAGCAGTTGCAATTGGAGCGCATGTACTACGGGCAGGTTCGGACAACTCGTCCAACACACGTCTCCCTAAACGGCAGGGAGTCCCTGTCTAAGCCCCTGCCCGACGTTTTTTTCTACTTTTTCTTTCTCCATTGACCAACTTCTCACCTGCAACGTCATTATAGGTGGTCCTTACCCGCGAATTCGTTCCTGGATTGTTGCTTTAACAAACTTCTGCTAACTGGAGCATAATTTTATCACGTCGTGATACCGCTGACCCATGTCGTTTACAGTTATGTTATGTTGTAATCCATAGAATAGAGGCAAGCAAATTGGGAAGAATCCCCGCATACGCTAGAAAAAGGATGACAAGGGTGAGACGCGCAACCGCGTCTCAATGTCCAACGAGGTGCGCAAAGTGAGACGCGTTACCATATGCGTCCTCATTGTCTCGTGTTAACAAATTCACGCAGAGTAAAAAATGCCACAGTATGTGCTTTGATTTCTAAAGCACTGAGTACATTACAGCGCCCGATTTTTGTTCACGACTGCTCAGCATTGTCAATTGGCGGGTTTACGATGAAAAAACGTTTCGCAAACGCAGAGTGTAACCGCGACGGACATAATTGTAGTACCTGGCGACTCAAGGAGTTTGCAAGGTAGAGCTGTCATGCAAGAGATAATCGCAAAGTTCGCAGAGCTATGGCAATATCACGAACCTTATTGAAACTGAAAAAATTTTAGGAATAACCACATTGCCATTTCAGGGTGTGATTACCGCTGAATGTCACCCACTTTGCTCACCCTACATATCTCCCGATTTCAAAATTTCATTCACTGTCATTTCAGATTGGAACCTCCTTGGGACGATGTCTCCGATGTATCCGAAATTGATAAGCAATTCTTCTTTGCGAATATTATAGAACAATTTGCAGGTGCTGTTCAGTACAGTGGAGATAATGCCGCGGTGAGTCCAGTTTGAATGACAACTTTGTCACAGGCCCTGCCACCTTTGCAATAGCACATCCTTCTTGAAAATCTAAAAGTCGCGAGCTGCGACCACATATGTAGCAGCTGCAAATTATTCAAATTATATCGGGCGTTTGCTGAGAAGTCAAGTGACCCCACGCCCGAGTTTCCTGTTTGTACAGTTCAGCAATTCAATCGGCTGAATGGAATTTCTGTGTGGCCGCAAAATATTGAGTTTGCTAAGGAACAATTTTCAAAGTAGCTACACCCAAAATATCTTTATGGCCTGCGCTTGCTATCTATCCGCCATTAATCATTTTTGGGCGTGACGTAACGTAGAATGCCTGCAAAACTCATGCAATCACCATTTCCCCTCCGTTTGTTCCATCACTTCGAGTATCCTGCGGTCCGGTTAATGTTGACGAGTGGAGGCCCTGGTCGTAAATGGCCTAGCTTCAAGCCACAAGTCGCGAAAACACTAATTGTAAGTTGCGCTTATTGCGCCACGAACGTGCCCGTCGAAGGCTTAGCCAAAATTTGGTAATCACTTCTCGGCCCATGCCGCTTTCACTATAGTCATCGCCAACAATGATACACTTTGATTACAGCCTTGGGAGAAAAACTGGTGTGAGCCGTCAATAATGCAGTTGTTCAGGGGAGTGGTCGAAAGGAAAAGAGAGAAAAAGAATCCCCCTCATTACTGCCCCGCAAACGCCTCTTCAGCCGCATTCCATCTTAGGATAGAGGAGTGTGTTCAGACAGGTCACAAACAAGCGCTGCTCCAGTGTCACCAGCCGCGACGCTATGCAGTGCGGGGCGCGCTCTCGCAATCCCGGCGTGGCAGCCGATAGCGGATCCGACGGACATCGTAAGGTGTGGATTGCGGGATACGCGGAACTATCACCTAGCGCCTTTTCGTCGCGCTTTCAAGCCGCCAAAACGAGACCGACACACAACGCTTGTTCTCCTGTTCCGCGACGCCAAGATGATAGGATGATCGTGCTTGGTATTGCGGATACCGATCTCTAAGCGCCTTTTCCGCAGCGGCTTTCAATGCCGCAAAAAGAGCCGGACCCAACGCTTGTTCTCCTGTTTGCCCGCGACCTAAGGATGGATCATGAGGCGTGCTTGGCAGCGTACACCTGCCTTTAACCTCGGCTATCGTATGGAAGCTCGCGTAACGGTCCAACGTGCAGGGCAACGCCCATCTAGTTGAAAGTTTGTCTACTTTAAAGCAAAAGTGGTCCTATTCTGGAGACAAACGAAGAAATCCTAGTGCTCTAAACTCTTGCGTTCAGTAAATTTACATTCATTGGGAACTGAGGTATGCCGAGGAGCACACTATTATGGTCAGCTATCCATAAGAACGAGAGCGCCAGTAAGAGGGCTACCTACAATAGTTATAGGGCTATCATAGAGTGGCTAAGGTATGTATCTACTTATTAATAACTAATTGACTTTGAGGGATACGCGCGTCTGGTCATGGTATACCGGATATGTGCAGAATTATGCGTGAACGAGGGCAAGCCATTCAAAATATCGCCAAGTTCAATGAATACATGACAAGATTTTATCAGGTACATTTTTTCAAAATATAACAGTATACAATTGCTAGAAGAGGTAGTAGCGATTCAGGAAAAGGGAAGGTGTTCGGAAGAAGGCACGCATATTCTACTTTTATTCATGATGAGGAGTGGACAGTACATCTCGCCAGTGAATTACCCATTGGAATTCACTACTCATCACATAACCACAGTAACCTTTGGGGAGCTCTACAAGCCAAGGCATACTTTGATAGAACTGACAAAAGCAGCAGGTAAAGGAAGCGATTACGATAAGGAAGGGTCGCATCGGGGAGTATATGCGCCACACGAAGCAGTTACTTGGCTGCCAAGGAAGCGAAGTGTGGCGCTTCACGACGAAAGGTGCCCTGGTTGCTGAGCAGGACTTCCGAAGCACTCCGCCCCGAAAGCGTTACGCCCACTAGTTCAGTTGATGACTTGGGCGAGCTGTTTGCTGTTGGCTTTTCATTTTGGATGATCATTTTTCCCTTCTAGCGGCTGTATCTTCCAACTTGCCCATGTAATGCCTTATCAATCAAAACACTATGCTTGTTGGCATGATGGCGGCTATCGGGGTTAACACGTCCGAACAACTTCTTTCTTTACCGTCGCTCATCCATGGTCGAAAATGAAAGGGCAATCAAAGGGGTACTATTTTGCTTATTTTTGACGGATTTCTTCTGCTTTTTTCGCCATTGGCGTACCATTGAGCACCCCCACGTCCCCTCCAAGCCCCTCCACTACCGTAATCGCTGCCTTTAGATGCATTAAGCTTCATCCACTAGTGATATGATACCTAAGATCTTTCTGAACTCATTTGCAAATTCGTAGCACTGAGCCCATCTGTGTTCAAAAAGAAAGCCATCTTCCACCACTCTAACTCCACGTACCCTACTCGTGTGAACGCCATAGACCGCAAAGGGCCAAAAAAGTGTGACATGTAATTCTATATTGAAGCGAAGGTCTATCAGACGCATAGTTTTTAGCGGCATGCTTCCAGTTGTGTGTCCTAATCGAGTGCTCTAATTGGTCCATTGTTTTTCCCTGAAAATCCACCACATAAGCTTGTGGAAACGCCGTATATATAAGTCCGTGTTGTGTGCTTGAACAAAACTGAAATATGAAAACAATCAAAACACTGAAGAGCTGCCTATTAGCGTAAGACGAAACAAAAAACCTTGTTCTCGGTAATTTTAGAGCATGAACGCGAGGAGGTCGTGTGAGACAGGAAGATTTTTAAGGAAGCCCATCAGAACTTCAGTGCCTTCGATCTTATTCTTTGTGTTCTCGATTATTAATGTTGTCTCTCCAAAACTATTTTATAGGGTGGTGAATTCAAAATACACATTCAACAGTTACAAAGATTACATTAAAGCACTACAACAATCACTATTTACAGGTGAGCCCATTTTTACAGAACATTCTATGGCTGAATTCTAAATAATGAGTTAGGCAAGCATGGTGAGTGGTGCTAGCGACGCAACTTTTACATACCGTCCGCAAACCAAAACCGCAATCCAACTAAGTCTCAACCGCTATCAGTTATTACGAATTATCGATGTTGCTAGACGAAGTTAAGCAGTTAAATATAATAAAAGGATAAAGCATTTGCCGTTGATCAATCCCTTTTTGGGATGCGGCACGCATTCTACTTCCATTTGTACATTCGCAGTGGCATTTGAATGCGATGTGGCCTATACAATGACTTGCGGGGCCAGCCGATGTTCAAGTCAGTGTTTTTATCCTCCCAGACAAGTCTGGTACCAATTAACCGACCCCGGAGGGATGGAAGGCTTGGTTGGCCCGGGCGACTCACGACCCAGGATTTGATCCCGGACCGCTCGCGTGGTGAGCGCGCCACTTGTCACTACACCACTTCCCGCCCGAGAGAATATAGGGACAAAAGCCTAAAAGGTTGCTGCCCTCGACGCAGTTGCGCCCAGCTGTTATTCCCGTACCAAAAACCTCTATTCGACGAATAAAGAACGACAAATGGATTTTCTCGTCACGGTCCGTAGCAGTGCTTAACTATACATTCTTGGTTTTTACAAAGTATACTAGACGATCAGCGCGGATTCCAACATCTAAATTAAGATGAGTCAGCTGCCTATCTTTGGACATGGCAAACATGTACCGAAATTTGCTTTACCCAGTCAACTGACTCCGCTACAGTACTATCTTCGTGATCCTATTACAACTCGAAGTAATTATATAATTGAATTCCAGTCCATATACAAAGATATAACTAAAAAACTTTTTGGAACTCAGTGAAAGTTGGGCCTTCTTTTAGATGTCAAAAACCATAGTCAAACACATCACATAATATGAATTTGCTCTACACGTTGACGACAGCGCGAGGCGCATGTGCTTCATACTAGGATCATTTTTTCCGCGCTTGCACTACTTCTTTCATAATTTCTATTTATTCTTGACAAATCACCATAATATGACAAAAAACGAATCATCCAATGTTTGCTTGACGCATAGATTTTGCATTCTCAACGATTTGCCCATACTCTTTCATCCCCGTCTTCTTTACACTCTCACTCCTTTGAAGCATTCATATGGAAAAGTTGTAAAGTAAGCATAGACCTTTAAAGCATATGTTTTTACTGGAACACCGCGGCAAAAATACAGTTAAAATTCACTACAGCAATTAAAACGGATGTTTTTTTTTTTTTGCATACAGACGTTCATTTTAACACATTCACGCCGATGGCCGCCCATATGGGCTGCCAACAACATGCGCTCCTGGGACGATGGCAGCCCATATGGGCTGCCAACTGATAATCGCTTGCCAGGCGCTAGGAATGGACAGATAGGTGGGCAAACCTCGTAATCGAGTGTAAAATGCTTTTAAATTCCTTCACGGGGAAAGTGAATAAATGCTCTCTTTTCGTAACCACTATTTCTGTCGAAAATCTACTGTTATAACTGTATGTTAGATAAATCTTTAGTGCATTGGAAGTTCCATATATTAGGTCATCTCATTCAAACATGTCCAGACATCTAGAGAAATGGTGGGAAAAGTAAAAGAGCTAGAGCATTCTGCTTGCTTTTGTTTGCAAAGCTAGCACACCTAGCTACGGTATACCCTCAATTAAGTTTGTAGTGCCGCAGAAGGGAACACTTAAAAATATAATAAAACTCATTGTGACCAAAATCGAGGCGGAATTTCCAAATGATTGGTGACACACGTAAAATTCGCAACTCGAATTCTCTGTGTGCTGGCTCAGCTTACGCGTGATACAGTGTTCTCGAAGTGCTACGTTGAAGATATGGTGTGAGAGCTCAAAGAAGGGAGAACGGAAGCGAGTTGTGGTTGAGGACGCGCTCACATTGCCCACCTTGTCCAAGAAGAGCGGGTTGATGATTTCAAATGGCGCATCACAGCTGCACCTTTGCGATGTTTGCCCATGAGACTTGCAGTCTAGCTGCAGCTGTTACGCGAATTGTGCCCAAAAATTGGAGATGGTCCATAGAACATGTTTTTGAATATCTCATTTACTCCCAGATGCAGGAGTCCAGAATCGAATTGGTGTCTGTAGCATTGATCTTCTCTGCCAATAGCGTCATTTAAGAGTATCAAACTGGACCCTGCTCATAAACGAAATTTGAGTGGAATTGTACCGCTGAGGCCTCAAGTCTGAAGCGTCAACTTTGGATTAACGCGAATGAGGAACTACTCGAATTGGATCACGAAAAGTCACGTGGGTTCACGTGGATGATGATTACGGCGACGGATTTCTGAGATTGCCTCTTAAAGGCACAACCCAGGCAGAGGTTTTTTATAACTCTTCTCTTCGGTCAGAAGTATAGAACCCTAGGGGACAATCACAAATGTGGCGTTCACGTGCACGGAATTCGACCGACAAGAACGCTTTGGGCTTGCAAAGTAAGCTGCTCGAGCTGCAGCGAACGAGCTCTCTTATCAGGCCGTTGTCTGGTGCTCTCTCATCTGATGCGCTCTCTCGCCCCATACTCTCCTCTTCGCGCTTAGTCTCTCGTTCCTTTAGCACAGCCAATTAGGAAGGTGAGTGAGCCCTCAACCTGAGCGTTTTCGACGGATTCTTTTCCTTTTTTCTTCACTGCCGGCCCACTTGGCACCGATACATTCACATTCGTGTGCAAGAGCCACACCAGTGCGATCCTGGGGCATGCCTTTAACGACTCTGTCGGGAAAAAACCTCCATCGGTGCTCAAGTGTATGGCTTGTTTCTTAGCGATCAAATTGACAAAGGAATAGCAGTACAAAACTACAATAACGATATCATCACCTATGTCGATGCCAGACCCCACATAGCTCATATTGCTCACGGGTATTTCGACCAAACGGATATTGTGACCTTACTTATCAGCCGTATTTTCCCAACTGCAGCCGTGCGACCTCAGCTGTTTTGGCGAACTGAACGCCCTACTCGTTGGGAAGCGCTATGATAATTCACTGATCATCTATACCGACATCGGAAGAATCTTGTCTATACTTGTTGAAATGAAAAGCTGCGCGGTGTCCACTGTTTTCTAGACGCTGGGATCGGGTCGTTAACAACGACAAGATCTGCTTGACTTAACACCAAAGTATTAGCTTTTTATCTTTCCTGCTGTTCATTTTATTCGAATAAAACCGTGGACATGTTTGAATGAGATGACCTAATATAATGTGCCATTCATAATTATAGGTTCATTACGAAACAAAATCTAGTATGTGTTGAGTCGGCGGGCGCCCACAAATTGCGTCCGTTCCACGCACCACAAGTAAGAAAAAGGTGTGTCGTGAATGTGTTAACAACTTCATTCCTAAGCACCTCCGATAAAGCCTTGAATAACCAAGTAGTTGTTGAAAGGTGCATCAAGCTTGCGTATTTCATTTCGCAAATCTACAAAGTGGAGTGAGGCTCGGCGGCGCCTGTGTCGTTCCGGCTCTCACGCGGTGAGAAAAAAGCCAAAAAGCAGCTGCCGTCATGGAGTCAATCCATCATCCTTCCAAAACGTCTTACTATA